TAGAGGGAGGGAGAGGCTGGAACCGAGCAGACCACGTGCTACTTGCGGGAGCGGATGGATACCTAGTATAACTGCAGTGTTTTCCTGAGAATGGATATTGCATCATGTGCATACACGCTGCCACAGTTCCGTAGGATACAAAGAACCAGTCGAAAGAGCAAGGTACTGAAGAAGAGTCTATAGTCCAAGGCAGGAGACTGGCACCACGAAGAATCCTAGAGGCAGAGTGTAGGGAAAGGGGTAGAAAGATCCAGTGCAAAGAGAGCAGAAACCCAGTTGGAGTCCCCCACCCCAAATGCACAAAGCTGCCATGGTCTGAGCAAAGTGGCCCTGGAGCCATGTTCATATGGGTGTTTCAGACATAGACAAAATTGAAGAGAGTCTGAGGAGCAAAGAATCTCTTGCAATCCATGTAGCCCATCTTCCTGAAGTCGCTGCTGTCTGAGGCTGCATTAACTTCAGGGGCATGTGACTGGTCAGTGGAGCTGGTTGGAAAAATGTTCGTCAAAACCTTTTTGCAACCAAAACAGCTTTCTGATTAAACAGACATTTTCACAAGAAAACATCTATTTTTATCTGTGTTTTAGGTGGTTAAAAAAACAAAAGAAATTTTTGGTCTTCAGCAACCAAAGACCAAGTTTTTCAACAAAATAAAATAAAAATGAAAAAATCAGTGAAAAATACATTTTCCAACCAGTGCTATTATTTCCCTTCTTTCCCACGGGTCCTTGCATGCTGTCCACAGGTTTGGCTGCATGATTGTCTTCCATGTGTGCTCACCATTCCCTGGCCACCCAGAACAGACCATGGAACATAAAACCGTTCCATGCCCAATTCACAAATATTAAGGAGACATCACAGTAGTACACTTCACTACTCCTGATGCAATTATCTGGCTTAATCTTCTAAATGTAAAATTATAGTTTACATCAGCCTTATGAAGAAGTCAGAACTCTGCTTCTTATTCAAGGCCTGTTTACAATATGGAGATCCTGCACACAGGTCGTTGCCATTAGCAGTAAGGGACGTGGCAGGCAGACCAACTTATAGGACAGATCTTTGCTGAGCATACACATAGATGCTAAGGGGCCTGTGCTAGCCAGCAGCCTGGCCCAGATCATGTTGCCAAGTCTCATGAAGAAAAAAAAGTGGCACTGCCTTTCAAAACGAGTCCACCCCATTTCAGAGGAAGGGGAGTGGGGATGTGGGAGGAGGGATACAAATTCCATATTTTTAGTAGTTCTAGTTTTGCTGCATACAACATTGTTACACATTAAAAATATTAAAATAATACATTTGTGTGTACTTACGTTATTTAAAAAGGTCATCCTTGCTCTCTCCATCCTCCACGGTCTCTGTTGCCTCAATGTGGTATATGCCTGTGTTGAACCGTTGAAGCATATCCCAGTTTGGGACAAAAAAATGGAACATAGGCTGTGTCAAGTGGACAGGCCAGAAAGTTCACAAACTTGGGTGTGTTTTCTTAAATGAATGGGAGTGGGGATAGGAGGATTCTAAAATTCAAATGAAGTGCATATACCTTGATGCCAGTCAATCACTGAAACCACTGCTAGAACCGTTCTCAAACTACACCTCTGTGTGGACGTCACCTATTACGAAAAAGCCCCAAATAAGGAGCGATTTGGTGTCACTTTGCACCAAATCGCTCCTGAAGCCAGACCGTCCCTCTCCAGTTCCACTCCTCATACTACAGCTCTGTCACTACAGCCATGGTGCGTTGTGGGTAGGCATCCCAGAGTCCTCCACCTCCTTCCCAAACCCACCCTCCTCCCACTCTCCCTGGGGGGGCGGGCCTGGGGGGAGCTTCACGGCTGACGGGAGTGGCGCAGTGTGGGATTGCAGCGGGAGGGCTGCCGGCATGGGGGTCAGCGTGCACCTGCCCGACCCCTGCCACCTTCTCAGCCACAGGGCCTTGGCCTGGGCATGAGCCATTCTGGCCATGAAGGGAGGCTTTGGCCTTTTGGGGAATTTGAGCCCTCTGATTGGATGCCCAGCCTGCTTGCCCGCCTCTTGGGGCAGAATAACCAATCAGAGCTGCTGCAGGCTGAGCTCGCTGCTGCGCTCTCTCTCTCTCTATCTCCTCAGCAGCCTCAGCCTCTCTCAGGAGGGGGCGGGGGTGCAAAGAGCCCAGCCACTAAGGGTGGCCCCCACCCCATCCTCTGGGCAGTGGGGACAGGATGGTTCCTCTGCCCCCACCCCACCCCCCCAGCATCGCCTGGGAAGGGGCACAGGGGGGGTGACAGCCCATGGAGCCCCCCTCCCCCCTTCTAGCCTGGAAGGGGGAGGGGACCCCACTGCAGCCCCTAGGCCTGGGAGAGGGGTGTGAAGAACCCAGGAGGAGCAGAGGTGAGGCTGGGGGCTGAACTTGGGGATGGGGACAGAACTAAGGGGGGGGCTGAACTGCGGGATGGCTAAGGTGGCCGAACTGAAGCAGATTAAGGGGGCCGAACGGAGGGCGGGGGTCTGAACAGACAGGGCTGAGGAGTCTGAACTGAGGGGCATTGGGGGGGCTGAAGTGAGGGGAGTTGTGGGGGGCTGACCTGAGCAATGCAGGGGGATGAACTGAGGGATGCAGGGGGCTGGACTGAGTGGGAGACTGAACTGGGGGGTTGAGGGAGCTGACCTGAGGGACGCCGGGGTTCTGAATTGAGCAGGGAGCTGAACAGATGGGGTTAAGGGGGCTGAATGGAGGTGTTGGGCACTAAGGGTGGCTGAACTGTGGGGGGCTAAGGTGGCTGAATTGAGGGGGTGCTGAACTGAGGGGGGGCAGAGGGCACTGACTGGAGGGGCACGGGGAGCTGAACTGAGTGGGGATTGAATAGAGGGGGCTGAACTGAGGTGCTGGGAACTGAGGGTGGCTGAATGGATACGGGTAGGAGGACTGGAGGGCTGAACTGAAGGTTTGAGGGGTGGAGGCTGAACTGTTGGGGTGGGAACCAGGTGGCAGAATTATTTGCTAGGCAGGGGACAGGAAGATGTGGGGGTAAGAGCTTCTGCAGTAGGGACCAGAATCACCTTACCCAATAAATTTGGGAGAGTGGACAACACTGTTTGTTAACCACACACGCACACTGGGGATGGGCCAGGGGAGATCAAAAATCAAAAGACAGACCAAAAAAGCACAGTATAATCGTCTTTTCAAAAGAAAAACTCATGATTTTTTTATCTGTGGAGGCTGGCAATACAGTACTGATGCCTGTGTGTCCACGTTGCCACTGTGCTGATATAGCTCCGCCATTAGGGATTTGCGCAACTCTGAATAGGGGAATAACTACACTGAAAAACCTGAAGGATATTTTGGTGGTAGACACACATGAGTTTGGATGCATGTGTGCCACCACCGAAAAAGGATGAATTCTACTGGTGCAATTCTTGTGTCTATTGTATTCTACTATATATAGCCTCTTCTACCACCACACTTATCTCCATGGTATCTGAGCACCTTCAGTAGTGCATAAGCACAGTGACTAACATCTGTCACGTGTTATATGTTCTCTCATCCTCTCCCCAGGGGCGAATTGTGTGTGCAGTGGAATGTTTTGTTTTGGTAGGGTTTTTTGTTTGGTTGGTTGGTTTTTAATACACATTACTCTGTCAAAGAAATGCATCTTAAATTTGGAGCAAAAGGTAGTGAGATTTGTAATGGTCCTTCGTTCCTGTGTGTTACAATAGCTAGCTGCTTAATGGGGCCGTTGCGGTATGATGAGTATGATTATGTATAGGGTAACGGTTAGGAATGTAGAGAACTCTACTTTCAGTAAGTGCTTGAGGAGAGAGTGCATTGTATGTGGAGGAAGGATTAAAGCCTGAATGATGCTCTCTCTGTTTTTATGCTTGAACGCAGAACATTGGGGGAGTTTGTTCCATAGTCTCCGACCAGCCCCCAGGAAAGCTCTGTGTCCCACACAGAAGAGCCTTACCCTTATTGTAGAGAGTTCCATCGTGTCTGAGCAGTGCAAGTGTCGACCACTGTCTTCATCCCAGGTCTTTAGGCTCTTTTAGATGTCTTGGGGCCAGGCCAGGGAGTTCCTTGATCACAGTGCTTTCACCTCTCAAAGGCGAGATGGCAGTATCTCATGGTCACAGCATTGACTGCTGCAGAGACCTGGTGAAAGCCCCTGCTTCAGGGACAGAAGCCTTGATAAGTTCACTGTTTCCCAGCTGTAGCTGATCTTCTGCCCTGAGATATCTGCTGTCCATTCCTTCTGACTCCATTCGCGGGGTTTGATTTCTATGTCAATGTGAAATGATGTTAAAAACTCCATAAGTTTCTATTATGCTAAATATCCCATATTGTTTCTTATTTTAATATTGGTTGTTGAAAATGCGACACCTGTATGTATTACATGCTGCAGCCACCTCTTCCCCCCATCACAGGATTCACCACTGCTGCATTGCAGGAATGGAAATGCAAAGAGTTGCATTTACAGAACAATCTGTGAGAAATAACTATCCAATGGTTCTACCGATCCTTGTTCTTTAACTGGCTGATAATGGCTGGCAACCAACTAGGGTACATATATTTGTATACTACGTAGTTATTGCACAGAGTCAGTATGCAAATAAGATTCCCTAAATCAGTCAGTGTGAAGAGAATTGTATGTAACTGCATTCTGATTGGCTGAGATAATTTCACTTTTCCACTTCCATCTGATGAAGAATAACTTTTGCAGGAGGAGGAAGTTACGCAAAAAAAAAAAAAAAGAGGTGGGAGGAAACTCATACAGATACACAGGAAATACATGGATGAAACAAGCACTGGAATATTGTGTATGGCAACAGAGAAAAAGTCAAAATCCCTTTCAAACTGCAAGAGTATATATAATGTTGAGTGTCATGACTTCAGTTAGGAAAGCATATATAGTATCCGTGCTCAGATGATACAGTGATGGGCAACAGTATAGAACTCCACGCTAGACCCCAAATCAGAGTGGCAAACTCTGGCATTATATTTTTTAAAAATGCAATCACATTAAAAACTGTATAAAATGAAATTTTATTTGTTAATTTATCAAGGGTATGTTATTTGTAACACTACAGTATGCAGAATTCTACACCAACTGTTGTAGCAAGACTGCAGATCAGCTCAGCGCTGTGATGTATAAGCAACACAGCACTTCCGGTTTAGCACTTCAGAACTCAACATTCAATACTGCGGATCCAACATTACTGCACAAACATAACAACAGTCATGTTTATTCCTTGCACATTTTCTATTTTCCAGTGCAGCTTCGAGTTGTTCCCTCCCTTTGTCCATGAATATAATACAGCTTTAATTAAATAAATAATTTTTACACAATGCATCAAACAAAAACATTTCACTGACTCCATTTTCTAATAAAGTTATGCCACCAACACTACATATTAAATTATAATAAAATTAGACTGGCAGTTTCTGAGCATGCCTCCCATTGACATCCGTGGGTGCAGCATCAGACCTTAAATCCACAGTCACTGGTGTTGGTATGTTCTGTGTGTAAAGATTACTGCTTTCCATTCCAGAGGTGGCTGCATACTGAAGATGGGGCAAGTGACCATGGTATGCTATATGGGCCAATCTTGCAATCTTTAGTCAGGCAAAAATCCTATGTCCCAATCCTGCAACCCTTACACAAGCAATCTTATTTACTTCAACAGAGCTACTCCCATGAGTGAGCACCACTTGAGTGAGTAAGAGTTCCAGGATCAGGATCCTGAAAAGTCTCTTGGTATTTGGGATCTTTGGGTGCAAGGTGCTATGTAACTGTCTTAATTTATTATGGCCCAGATCACCCTCTCAAACCGTCCATGGGAGGAATGTCTGGGGAGAAAAATCTCAGCAAGGACATCCCCATACTACCCATTGATCCCACATGGAAAAGGCTCTGGGGCCTATCCATAGAGCTCCAGTCCCTCTGCACCAGCTATGGCCCCAGTGACCACAGTGGAGCCGCTCTACCAGGAGCTACCCTGGCTGTGGTAGCCCCAAGATGCCCAGGGGAGGCTCTACACAATAGATAAGACAACTTGGAGGTATATCATAGGACTGGACAGGGGATCCTGCCTGGTCCAGCCTTCTGCCTTCCCATTCCTTCCCATAGTGTGCAATAAGGGCCCATGGAGGAGGGTTGTCCGGGGGGCCTGGAGAGAAGGGGTAGTGGTACGGGGAGGGTGGCTGAGGCTCCCTTCCACGTGGGTGTGGGTTGTTCCATGAGCAGTGTCCCCTTCATTCACAAATCTATACAGGACAGTCTAGGCCTGTGCATGAAATTCACCCTGGGGCAGAGGACTATTTATGGCTCACTGAAGCCCTGTTCTGAGGACATGAGTGGCTCATGGACCTTGTGCAGGCCCTTCTTCTCTGGAGTGAATTTCACCTAGTGTGAACAAGCCTCAGCAAATATCACATGATTATAAAAGGTACAAGGCTCTGCTGATTGTATATTGTACATATACAGAGATGAAAAGAAGGGAGACTTCAGGTGAAATATAGAATTTAAATGGTAAATATGTATCATTGGCAGTTACTGCTTAAGGATGGCAATTTGCTGATTGCTTTTTTCCTAGAGAAGATGTTTCTAAACCCTTAAAGTTTTTCCACTGTTACTTTATAAGCAGATTGAAAAAGAGGTACATATAATCTATCTGACTGGAGTCCCCTGAGAGATACATAATGTTGTTTGGAAAGAAACACTCATATTATGTTCTACTAAATAAGCATATCCACCCTGTCAGACAAGTGATAGCACACAGGGTATGGAAGGCTTAAATACATATGATACAGATGTGTACAGACATTCTGCAATGAGAAAAGGTGAGAACAAAGTGCACACAGTAACAGCTCCAAACTTTGTTCTGTTTCTGTTCTAAGGGCTCATTCCACCCTTGTTAATAAATAACACAATATACAGAACTAGATACAAGAAAACTAAAGATGCAGAGGAACATAAATATTGGAAACCAGAAGTCACTTTGTTCAACAAAGTTGGGATTGGGCCTCCTGCAGCTCTCTTCTTCATGGCAAGTCACGTCTCAATAGAGTTTAAACATACCAAAGTATGTGTTTCCATGATCATAGTTCACTTGAGTCGAATCTGTCACATTAACAAACACCACGTCACCTTTCCGGAGTTCAAACACTCCTCCCAGGTGAGTGGATTGGAGGGCACAGTAAACACTGGATGAGCTGTGTGTATCCTGTCCCTTTAATAAGAGCCGATCAAATTCCGATGGTAGGTTCAAATAAATAAACACCGTAAATGGCGCCCCAGGAGTTTGCTTGGTGCAGAAGCTGACCTGGGAGTAGATGTAGTAGAGCCCTTCTTTTTCCACCTTCAATTTCCCTCCTTTGTAGGATATCAGGTTGCTCATAGGGGCATACCCCGTTTTCTGCCACTGTAAAACTGTGAAGGGAAAAACATCGCTTTTGAGTTGAATGAGTCAGAAATCACATTAGGAGAAAAAAATACCATTAGAACGTTTCATGTGAATGACAGGTTTCAGAGTAGCAGCCGTGTTAGTCTGTATTCGCAAAAAGAAAAGGAGGACTTGTGGCACCTTAGAGACTAACCAATTTATTTGAGCATAAGCTTTCGTGAGCTACAGCTCATTTCATCGAGCTGTAGCTCACGAAAGCTTATGCTCAAATAAATTGGTTAGTCTCTAAGGTGCCACTAGTATGCCTTTTCTTCATGTGCATGGAATCAGTCCAACCCCGAGTCTCTCTTGTCTCTTTAGACTGTAAGCTCATTGTGGTAAAAACTGTCTCTCTCAAAGTGTATCTATACCATGTAGCAAGATAACTGCTCCCCAGCACAGCTTCCCAGTCTCCATCCTGCTCCTGCCCAAATGCTCCTCCTCTGGGGCTGTGAGCACTGCCCACAGCACAGCACAGCCTCCCTCTTGCTGGGCTCCCTTCCCTGCTCTGGGAGAAAGGGGCTCTTTGTTCTTCATGGCAAGTAGTTGTATCGGTTGACATCATGTACAAGTTGACCAACGGTGATGGGAATTATTAGAGCTGGATTGGGAGCTCAAGGTGGATATTCTATCCCTCCCCTCTGTACTCTGATGGGATCCCAGCACTAGAGTGGCCACAGATTTACACTGCTGTCTTATTTATACACAGGAAGGAAGTTGGGTTTTTTGGTTCTTAACCCACGCTGTCCCCTCTGATTGACCTGGTGTGTGGCTTAGCATTTGGCCTTCTTTATGCAGCAGAGAAGTAGTCATGGTTATAATACATTTTGCTACAAATAATAGACACAAAGAGCCAGATTCTCAACTGGTGTAAATGGTCATAGCTCCATTGAAGTCAATGCAGCCTTCAGATGCTCGGGTATTGCCTTTGAGAGGAGCTGACTCAAAGCCATGAAGAGTCCCTCTGAAAGGAATGATGGTTTTTGTATTATCAGGTGTGTTCAACACCCAGGTGCTGACATTCGTTTCTGACCTGTACACTGTCTTTACGTTCCTCCTTCCATCGCCCTCTTCCAGCTACTGAAGAGGGTGGGAATCAGGTGAGAACGTATAAAAATAATCTTGCTACAGGTTTCATTCTACAGTCATAGCAGGCGCCTCCGAGCCTAGCAACTTACATACCATAAACTTTCTCGTGGCAAAACACAAATCTCCCCCAACAGCATCGGCAGCACTGTCTGCTGCATGCCAGGATGGGCTCTTGTTTGTGCACCGGCTGCCACAGTTGGTGGGGGTGAGTGGAGGTGTCAAGGACATCTGAGGAGTACGTCCTTACTCAGGTAAAATGCCCATTAGAGTCAAAGAGAGCTGGGTCAAAGAGCACAGGAGGGGCCTTTTCTTGGCTGACGTGTACATCTACCTTGAGCACTGTCAAATAGCGAAACTGAAATAACTAAAACCCTCTCTAATGTAGAACATGAAATATGCCAGGCAATTAGAGTCCACCTACACCGCCTGCAGCAGCGAGTCTCAGGGCCCCAGGCTACAGACTTGATCTCGTGCTACAGCGCTCAAAACAGCTGTGTAGATGTTGTGACTTAAGCTCTGAAGCCCACCCTTCTCCCTGGGCTGCCATGCCCGAGCTCCAGCTTGAACTCTTTGGATACATCTGCCCAGCAGCTAGACACTTGTGGCTGGCCCGTGCCAGCCAAGAGGCTTGCAGGACTTGGGCTGCAGGGCTGTTTCATTGCTGTGAAGATTTCTGGGCTCGGGCTGGAGCCCGGGCTCTGGGACCCTGTGAGGTAGGAGGATCCTAGGGCTCAGGCTCCAGCCCAAGCCTGGAAGTCTATGCAGCAATGAAACAGCCCAAGCCCCACGAGCCCAAGTCGGCTGGCACAGGCCACAGTCTAGTTGCTGTGTAGACATACCTTTAGAGGGCTTTTTTTCTCTATGGGCCTGATCCTGTGCCCACTGAAGTCAATTACCAAGTTCCCATTGACTTCTCTAATGCAAAATCAAGTCCTATTGAAGTTTACTGAGCAAATATTCATTTTCAACCTTACATTAAAAAAAAAAAGTCTTGATTTTTTTTTCCTAATAGGAAAAAAAGAGTGAGAACCCAGGTAAGGAAGTACAAAATAAATAACTCAGGTTTTTGGAAGTTTGCTAGACCTGATGGAGTTCTGAGAGTGGCACTCCAGAACTCCAGCCTCGGATATTAATATGAAAATAATATCCAGTATCAGTGTTTCTAATTACCTCACAAAGAACCCAACCCTGGAGAAACTGAAATACCATTCGCTGCAATGGGAGCAGGATGGGTATCTTGACCTTTAATAGGAAGTTCTCTTAGTGAAGGAATAATCCAGCATGAGGTCTATACATGTGCATGTTACTGTCTTGTTTTCTTTTCCCCAATGGCTGAGTCTAGGCACTGAGTTCCAGCCAAACTAGTTCATTTCTGAGTGTTTGTTAGTTTGCATTATAATATCAATAGGATTACAGGGAATTTTTTTGTGATTTTTATTTGGTACAAAGGTTTCCTCAAGGTTATGCGTTGAGCTATAAAGTGGAATAAAGTCTGTGTGAGTTGTAGCGTCAGAGATGGAAAGAGCTATTGCTGTTACTGGTAATTACTCCGGAGTCAATTGAAATGTGCTTAGGTTTAGAGATTCTTACCAGATTATAGGTCTGATCTTGCAGACTCTTACTCATACACCTTTGCTCTTGCAGGCTGTCTCCTGGGCCAGGACTACTCTAGAAAATTTACCTAGTGCTGACAATTAGTGCAGCCGAGCCAGTGATGAAAATGGTATAACTGCAAGTGTAGACAGGCCCACAACCAATTCAGCACAGTTTCAGGAAACTGTTCTAGATAAATGTAATTGAGATGGTACAGAACATGGCTCTGTGGTGTCTATACGTTCATTATAGTGACTAAGGGTATGTCTACGCTGCAATTACACACCCATGGCTGGCCTGTGCCAGCTCTCTCACGCTCCTGGGGCTCTGGCTAAGGGGCTGTTTAATTGCAATAGAGAGATTTGGGCTCAGGCTACAGCCCGAATTCTGGGACCCTCCCACCTTGCAGGGTCCTAGAGCCTGGCTCCAGCCTGAGCCCAAACGCCTACAGTGCAATTAAACAGCCGCATAGCCTGAGCCCCATGAGCCTGAGTCCGCTAGCACAGGCCAGTCATGAGTTTTTAATTGCAATGTAGAGATACCCTTTAAAGCCAGTGACCATCAGCGCCTTATCTAATGAGTGTTCTCCCTGTTGATATCAAAGGTGGGAAATTTTAGGGGAAATGTGGAGACAGCCTTGAGAAGAGTGAGACGCTTTGCATGCATAAAGACAACACTCATGACTAAGGGTTTGCAGGACTAGGCCTTATTCTGTTCTTACAGTTTAGCATGGGCTATTTCAGATTCTGCATATGATGAACATTACTCTTCACTTAAACCAGCCCTAACCTTCTCCACTCACAGCTGAGCCTGACAATCCCTGGTATGATGGGATTTCTTCATTTAGCAGTTTTTCTTGTAAAAATGACCACCAGAAATAACGTTCTGAAAAGCACACACATACACTACACACACATAGACCACACAAACACTCTCTCTGCTAAAGGCACCCAATTCCCCAGTCCTTCAAAGTGCATGACATGCCTACAAAATCAAATGTATTTTAGCCAGGTTTCAGCAGGAGGGTGGTCCATTTGAAAACAATGACATTATTTCCTTTTCTTAAAGACCATCTATTATTTATTTCTAGGAAACCTGATATTAAAAAAACAGAAAACAACCAATAATGAAGCAAAAGGAAACATGTTCATTGCGAGGTTTAGTTTATGTTGTCACCAAACTCCTATGCTGGAATTATTGTCTTCTAACTCACTGTAGCCTTTCAATTACACTTCACATAAGACCAAACAGAGCCCACCTTATTCAAGTGCATTGTCACAGTGGAGTCCAGTGGGCAGATGGACACGAGTAAGGCAAGCAGGAGTTAGCCTACATGAAATATCATCAGACTCAAGAATAATACTCTACATAGTTACCACTGAGTTTGATTCCCTGAAGTGTGAAACCCCATATAGGAAAATGTGTGCCCAGTGGTTAGAGCAGAGGACTGGGACTTAAGAGATCTGAGCACTATTCCTGGCTCTGCCACTGGCCTGCTGGGTGACTTTGAGCAAGTCACATCACCTCTCTGTGCCTCAGTTTCTCCATCTGTAAAATGCGGATATGCTACTCCCCTCCTTTATGAAGTGCTTTGAGCTCTATAGAAAAAGCATTACAGAAACGCTAGATACTATCATAGAATGATAGAAATGGAGGGCTGGAAGGGACCTCAAGAAGTCTTCTAGTCCAGTCCTCTGTGCTGAGGCACACTAAGTAAACCTAGACCATCTCTGACAGGTGTTTGTCCAACCTGACGGGGATTCCACAACATTCCTTGGAAGCCTATTCCGGAATTTAACTAGCTTTATAATTAGAAAGTTTTTCCTAGTATCTGACCGAACTCTCCCTTGCTGCAGATTAAGTCCATTACTTATTATCCTACTGTCAGTGGACACGGCAGAACGATCGATCACAGTCCTCTTTAGAACAGCCCTTAACATATTGGAAGACTGTTCTCAGGTCCCCCTCAGTCTTCTTTTCTCAAGGCTAAACATGCCCCGTCTTTTTAACCTTTCCTCCTAGGTTAAGCTACCTAAACCTTTTATCATTTTTGTTTCTCTCCTCTGGACTCTCTGCAGTTTATCCACATCTTTCCAAAAGCATGGCACCCAAAAATTGGACACAGTATTTCAACTGAATAGAATGGGACAATTACCTGCCACGTCTTACACACAACACTCCTGTTAATAAACCCAGAATATTAGCCTTTTTCACAACTGCATCACATTGTTGACTCATATTCAAGTTGTGACCCACAGTAACTCCCAGATCCTGTTCAGGATTTGGTTACTACAACTGCCCGGCCAGTTATTCCCCATTTTGTAGTTGTGCATTTAATTTGTCCTTCCTAAGAGAAGTACTTGCACTTGTCTTTATTGAATTTCATCTTGTTGATTTCAGACCAATTCTCTAATTTGTCAAGATTATTTTGAATTCTAATCCTGTCCTCCAAAGTGCTTGCAACTCTGTCATTGAAAATTTTATATGCATGCCCTCCACTCCATTATTCAAGTCATTAATGAAAATATTGAATAGTACCAGACCCAGGATTGACTCCTGGGGGACTCCACTAGATATGCCCTCCCAATTATTATAATAATTATTATGATTATTTCACCACTTATAAATCCCACTTTCCCCTCCTTCTCCACCCCTCCAATCTGTGAATAGGGTCTGGCAAAGCTGAGTTCCTTACCTGATATTTTCTTGGTGCTGTTCTTGAACCCCGTTAGGTGAGCTGAAATTGGTTGCTGCCTGTCATCTGCAATCAAACAAGGCCAGTGATTTATTCATGTGTTTATCCTTATTCATTATCTTAGGCAGTACAGCGACTGCCCTAGACACACCTCCGCGCTGTGTAATAATATTAAAGTACACAAGAGCCAGAATCATCAGGACTGATTTTAAAAAGCCTCACCCCTCATAGAAAACTTCCCTGTCTAATAGAGATAATGGCCCCGATCTTGCAATGAGCTCTATGGAAGCAGCCCCCCGTGCCCATGCTGAGACCAGTAGGACCAGGGCCTACAGTAATATTCAGTCAAAAGTCTGATCGAACAAAACGTGTACAAATTCCCATGTGTATGAATGCGAATTCGAGCTCTGATGGGCACAGCAAAGTGGGGACTTTCAGCTCAGAGTGCCCTACTGCTGACCTTGAAAGGGTGTGTTCCAGGCACTGACAGCAAAGACATCTCAGGTTCAAATGAGGTGACAGATAGAGCTTTAAATAACCAACTCCCAGACCCTGGAGGGCTGGCTGGCACGCTGAATTACCAATAGGTTGCTGGTGGGGCACACAGTGTAAAGGTGTTATGCACTCACAGAAACCAACCTCACCCAGACGGTGGGATGCTGTGAACTGCAGCGACTAACCACTTCAATAAGCCTTACCCTAACACTCTCTGCTTGGGGTGAGCAGGGAATGTCTTCACTGCAGAGTTAGCCCAGGCTCTGACGCACACAAAAACCCTTTCACCCAGGTTTGATGGTGCTTTCATCCCGGATTAGCTGGGCTGGCTGGAGGTGATAGAGCCTGGGTTCCACTTTCACTCGGGCTGGTAATGTGTCCACTTTCCAGAGAGGACACAGGCTAAATCACTGAATGCTGATAGTCCACCATTGCCTTGCCCTAATTCCCCATGTGCCTAGAAGGACAGACAAATCCTCCCACAATTTACTGGGAAAGAATTATAGAGTGGCTCAATTTACTGTAGTGCCAAGCATTATGGGATGTGCCTCCAGAAGTCCTAGTGACACACATGGGTGAGTGTAGCATCAGTGAGGATGCAGTAATACAGGCAGCTAGCCTAACTTGTATGAGCTAGCCTAACTTGTATGCTCAGACTCAGGTGCTAATCACCTGGGCTAACTCTGCAGTGAAGACATTCCCTTACAGGAGCCCAGTCAAGATATGACAGATGCACCAACGGGAATGCATCAGGCAAGACTATAAAATGCACACCACCAATAAGTATTTACATGCATGCCACCTTGACATGCCTTCTGAATACGTTGTGTTTCAATCCTCCCTTTGGTTGCGGGTATAGAGCCCCACTGACTTCAAAAGGGCTTTAACTCGCTGGCTCTGATTAGCAGCAGGAACTCATTCATTTGTCTGGTACAAACACTGGCCTCACAGAGATGATGGGCATACAATACATAGTAAATAGTTGGTAAAATATTTTCTGCCTATGTAAACTAAAGGATTAGCAGCATTGGGGCACTGGCAGAACAGTGCTTTGTTACTGGTTTAGCAGATTTAGCAATTTAGCACTTTTTGGTAGCTTTCCTGGCAAGCACTTTCTATTCTTCTGACATCTTATCCTTCTCACATTCCTAGAGATGTTCTTCTGCCTCATGCTATCATGATATAATAGCACTGAAAGACCCAGATGCTGAGCAAAGGACGCCTCAAATCTTGTTCCAAAATGACACCGTAAAGCTCAAGGATTGCCATAGGTATTAAGATACTGACTCTAGACCTTCTGAAACATCATAAGGAACCAAACCTGCTGCATGGGAGTGTTGCCATTGACTTCACTGGGAGCAAAATCAGGCTCCAAGCACAGTGCAGGCCATCCCCAGATTTTTTATGTTATCGATCGTGTTTTCAATGATGCAAAGAACATTGTCTCTTGACAGACCTACTTTCCACTTTATTTCATTTAGTAAAAGTTTTCCCAGAATATCAAGAAGTGTACCTTTTTGCATTTCAAATTTTGCACCATCCTTGCTGAGTTCTGCATCCTAAAACCAGAGCATTATAAAAGGTTATTCAGAGATTTGAAATCACATTTAATCAGTGTTCCAAACACAGCACATCTAATCCTACAACGTATGTGTGATAACCAAAGGTATCAGAATAGTATCCTTGGAGTTATCTGTGACCATATAATGATATTCACAGTAAAAGCGCACCAGCATAACTGAGAACGGAGTTTGACCCATAATATTTTAGATTTACATGAAACTTATCATCCTAAAGGATTGCCGGGCCGTACGAAAGGAAATGCAGCCAATTCGGGGAGCTAGAGGGTAGGACAGCTACCAATGGGTGTAGAGCACACTGAAAAATAGTGGCAGGGTTGGGGAACCACACCTTTACTCGTATGTAAATATCCATACAGAGCAAAACAGTTTGACCCTAAAGGTTAACCTGTATTAAACTGCATGTTATTCCTTTTGTCTGACAGGAGGATGAAGGGCTGCTTGCATTTCAAATCAGATGCTTAGAACACTAAGGCATCCCCTACCTACCAGCCTCATTATACAGTAAAAATTCCATGACTGGAAAAAGATTGGAGAACAGATCACCCAATTTTTGTTCTTCTGGCAAACCACCCTGACTTCGCATTAGCAGAATCAATGCTAGTACATAAACAAAGCATAGCACTTGGGGGGACAATATAGTGCCCCTCCTACACAGATACTCTACAAGTGACATTGGTTATTACTGTTTGGCAAGGTTTGAATAAAATAAATTGACAGCTCATCATCATTGAGCGTAATCTTCTCTGTTCTCTCTAGTGCCTGAACTACCTGATCAGTATTTCTGATGTGTGGAGAGAAAATAAATATTTGAGAAAGCAGAAGGGAAAAGGCCAGTAAGTTCCCATTTTCATCACCTGTGTTGTGAGATCTTTTCTTCCCTGCAGTGCAGCCCATTGGAATTCATTTTTATGGTAAGCAATATTTTTCATTGCTTTGGTGCAGCAGATATTTAAGACCTACTACAGACCTAATTTATTTCTGTTCCCCAGCACTGGATTCAAAAGGTGTTAGTGAGGTTACAGTTTGGCCCTGAGAGCTCTATTGACTTTCGGTTCTGGGATACCTATCACCAGAACTTGTGAAAACAGCTCTGCTGGGGTCACGCGCAGCAGAGTTTTTACTTTCCGTTTGTAGCTCACGGTTTAAAGGGCCTTTTATTTTAGGTTTTATATCATGAAAATGCTGTGACAGGAAAGGTGTATTTGAAAACACTTAGAAGAATGACTGTACAGGGCAATTCAAAAAGTGTGATGCTTTCCTACAAGGCTATCGTACAGCGCTGCAATGCTGGACTCCTCCAGCTCAGACACACTACAGGGTATTCAGAACTGATGAGCCTGGTCAGTTTCAGGCATGATTTGCTTTATCAACTAGAGCCTGATCGAAAATGTTTGGAAGGACTCCCATTTGACTTTGATGGGCTTTAGTTTAGGCCCCTGATGTGCATGCCACCAAAATCCACTTAACACAGGTAGGAAATTATTATATCTACTGAACAGAATAAACACTGCTAATTAATTATTTCAAGAGCTAGGCAGATTGAGGGCACCATCCCCTAATCTGACACCAATTCAGAGTTCATTAGCTGGTTCCCTTCACCTATTCCATTCACTAGGATATGCCAGAAGGAACTTACTGACTATACCAAATGGATCCTAGTTAGTGCCTCGTGAATGAGCTCATAGTTAAGTACCTGAATTTCAAAAAAACCATGATGATAATATGTCCCTGTAGCTGACATCAAATATCTGGAGCCCTGTGCTAGCTTAGATGTATGCGTGGAATTCTCATTAACATTAATGGCACTGCACTTCCATGTGCAAACCAAGGACTGTGTAACATCAAGCGTCTATGCCGGAGCAGAATTAAGCCTCAGATATGCTATGCACACTGTTCTCATGCATCTCGAATAACCTGCTGTTTTGCTTCTTCATGAATAGCAGACTTTTTTCTAGCTGCCGAACTGTATGTGCTGCACCTCAGCCCCAGTAATGAAAATGAGCACAGTGTCTGGGCTCAGTTCTCAAGCGCTTTGCAACTTGTGTAGTCATTGACACCTATGCAATGTGGGTGTAAAAACACAACCAAATCTCACACTGGTGGCAGCATTTTACACCCACCTTCCAAAGGTGTTAGTAAGGTGCAAGACAGTTGAGAATCAGGCCTTCTGTGTACTGTTTAGCACACAGGGTCAGATCCTACCAGCAGCCCACAAATGGAGCTCCCTGTCCAGTTCTGCATGAAAGCTGGCATCAGAGCAATGTTAATAAATCATAGAATCATAGGACTGGAATGGACCTCGAGAGATCATCTAGTCCAGTCCCTGCACTCATGGCAGGACTAAATATTATCTAGACCATTCCTAACAGGTGTTTGTTTAACGTGCTCTTAAAAATCTCCAATGAGGGAGATTCAACAAACTCCCTAGGCAATCTATTCCAGTGCTTAACCACCCTGACAGTTAAGAAGTTTTTCCTAATGTCCAACCTAAACCGCCCTTGCTGCAATTTAAGCCCATTGCTTCTTGTCCAATCCTCAGAAGTTAAGGAGAACAATTTTTCTCAGATACAATCTGAGATCAACTTGTAGGGCGTCAGCTCCATCACTCCCACTAAGCCGATGAGAGTTAGAGTGTCAAAGTCCTGAGTGTTGTACTGCGAACACAACCTCTTGTGTACACTTTTGTAGCTACTGTCTTGTTTGTTAAATAATGGGTGCAATTGTTGTTACATAATGTAACTCATTTTAATGTAAAAAAGAGCAAATCTTGTGAAGGGCTTAGAGTGACCCAGTATTTTGTCATCTATATTTTTGCCGTCTATATTTGTCATGCTTGGTGCATTGTAAATATTGTTATGTATAATGTTACTCCTGTGTAATAATTATGATGTGTTAAGTGCCACTTGTATACCATGCACCAGGGGTGCTGGAACTAGGAGTGCAGGGAGTGCGGCACCACGCCCTGGCTTGAAGTGCTTTCCATCATAGATAGGGCTTACAGTTTTGTTCAATGGCTTTCAGCTTCCCCTCTATAAACATTGTTCCAGCGGCACTGCCATGCACTATATTTAACATGGAGGAGACATGATCCGAGCCCTCTGGAGCTCACACTCTAAACAGAAGCAGTAACTGAACTCCAATATAAATGAGCCTTTCCTATACCTTTGTCTTCAGTACATGATAAATAATTAAATATCATTTTATCCCATGACTGTTAAAAGTTTCATTCAATGCAAATGATCCTCAAACTTTCTAAGACAAACATTCCATTGTCAACTGGGGCAGATTGTGTGAGTAAAATTACCTACAGGTGTTTGTGTTTGTACAATCAGGCTCTATAATATTTGTTTTAGTGGGCCAGATTCTGATCACACTTACGTTATAATAATTCCATTTACTTCAATGGAGTTATTCTGAATTTAACTCCAGTTAAAATGGGATTAGAATCTGGCCCAGTATGTGGAAGTGTACAAATATTGCTTTTTAAATACAGCTTTGCAATATTGCCTGTGTGTGCCTACATATGTGGCATTGCAAATCTTTATCAGCATCTTTATTTATTTAACAGCATCTTACCTTGACGAGCAGATCCTGGAATCTGTTTATGATCTCCTTACAGTCCAATAACGATGAGCCCGCACCTTCTGGTTTCCGACATTTTTGTATTCTTCTGAGGAACAAATAATCTTCATGTAAGCTCAACTCCTGTTCCAACTGTCAGTGAGATAATAGATAAAACAGAATGCTAGAGGCCAAGTGACAAAAGAACATAAGCTCATTGTGTTCTGAAACAACGTCTCATGAAACAGTAGATCCCTACACCATACCATACCTCAAGGGCCCAATCCTGAAGGCCATACTCAAGCAAAGTTCCCACTAACTTCAATGGGAATTTTGTCCAAGTAATGGCTGTAGGATTGGGCCCCACATCAGATTTCTGTATAAAATAAATAACAGCAATTGAAACTTGCTCTCAGATCTTTTGTATTAATTTTAGGGCTGTCAATTAATCGCAGTTAACTCACGCAATTAACTCAAAAAAATAAATCGCAATTAAAAAAATGAATCACGATTAATTGCACTTATAACAATAGAATACCAATTGAAATTTATTAAATATTTTTGGATGTTTTTCTACATTTTCAATATTGATTTCAATTACAACACAGAATACAAAGTGCACAGTGCTCACTTTATATTATTATTTTTTATTACAAATATATGCACTATAAAAACGATAAACAAAAGAAATAGTATTTTTCAGTTCACCTCATACAAGTACTGAAGTGCGATCTCTTTGTCGTGAAAGTGTAACTTACAAATGCAGATTTTTTTTTTTTTGGTTACATAACTGCATGCAAAAACAAAACAGTGTAAAACTTTAGAGTCTACAAGTCCACTCAGTCCTACTTCTTATTCTGCCAATTGCTAAGACAAGCAAGTTTGTTTACATTGGTAGGAGATACTGCTGCCTGCTTCTTATTTACAATGTCACCTGAAAGTGAGAAGAGGCATTCGCATGGCACTTTTGTAGCCAGCATTGCAAGATATTTACATGCCAGGTATGCTAAACATTTGTATGCCCTTTCATACTTTGGCCACCATTCCAGAGGACATGCTTCCATGATGATGATGCTTGTTAAAAAAAAATGTGTTAATTAAATTTGTGACTGAACTCCTTGGGGGGAGAATTGTATGCCTCCTGCTCTGTTTTACCCACATTCTACATATATTTCATATAGCAGTCTCAGATGATGACCCAGCACATGTTTATTTTAAGAACACTTTCGCTGCAGATTTGACAAAATACAAAGACGGTACCGATGTGAGATTTCTAAAAATAGCTACAGCACTCAACCCAAGGTTTAAGAATCTGAAGTGCAGTCCAAAATCTGAGAGGGATGAGGTGTGGAGCATGCTTTTAGAAGTCTTAAAAGAGCAACTCTCTGATGCAGAAACTACAGAACCCAAACCACCAATAAAGAAAATCAGCCTTCTGCTGGTGGCATCTGCCTAAGATGATGAAAATGAACATGTGTCAGTCCTCACTGCTTTGGATCATTACATTAAGCAGAACCCATCATCAGCATGGAAGCATGTCCTCTGGAATGGTGGTTGAAGCATGAAGGGACATATGACTCTTTAGTGCATCTGGCACTTAAATATCTTGCAATGCCAGCTCCAACAGTGCCATGCAAATGCCTGTTCTCACTTTCAGGTGACATTGTAAACAAGAAGCAGGCAGCACTATCTCCTGCACCTTGTAACCAATCTTGTTTGTCTGAGTGATTGACTGACCAAGAAGTAGGACTGAGTGGACTTGTAGACTCTAAAGTTTTACATTGTTTTATTTTTGAATGCAGTTTTTTTTACATAATTCTACGTTTGTAAGTTCAACTTTCATGATAAAGAGATTGCACTACAGTACTTATATGAGGTGAATTGAAAAAATTTTTTTTGTTTTTTACAGTGCAAATATTTGTAATAAAATATAAACATAAAATGAGCACTGTACACTTTGTATTCTGCGTTGTAATTGAAATTAATATATTTGAAAATGTAGTAAACATCCACAAATATTTAAAATAAATGGTATTCTATTGTTGTTTAACAGCGCAATTAATCACGATTAATTTTTTTAATCGCTTGACTTCCCTAATTAATTTACATGTTTCCCCTTTTCAAAAGGCAGAAGGTGAGACTTCATCAGTTGCTATAGGTATCTATGTGTGAATCTTGATGAAGAGCTTGATTCTGCCGCCCTTATTCCTGTGGAGTAGAACCTTGAATTGGTAAGAAGTCCCACTGAAATCACTGAGGCTGTATTGGGATGGAAGAACACAGACTCTGTGCCGATACACATTCCAGTGATTGGAACAGACTTCTGCATGGTCTGTGCTAGTGGATCCAAATGCAGGGTCAGACTCTCAGGACCTACTCATCGTGAGGAAAGGTGACGGATTCAGACTGTTTCTATGGTGTACGACCGCATTTCATCTTCTCTTAGACCAAAACAGTCCATTTCATAACTCAGAGAAGAAATATTTTCTTGCAATAATTAGTAATTACATTCATTCAGACAGACCGTGTTGCTTTGTTTCTCTTGAGTAGTACCGTACTGCACAAGTAGTTCCATTAAAATCAGTGGGACTACTTGCATAGTAAGGTACCACTCAAGGTGAGTACAGAATTTACAAACTGATCCACCACATGCAAACTAACCCGTTCTTAATCTTACAGACTGTTTTGCCTCTTGTACTTTAACATTTGGAGCCGAGCTCTACATTCCATTGTTAGGGATCAGTCTTAACTCATTTAAATTTAAATTAAAAATATGCAAAAATGTATATTTTTAATTTCAATGAGAAAATATTGTCTGCATGCCTTTTAAGGAGAATACACTTTATTCTATACCCAATTAGGTAGTTTTACTTGATATATGAAGCACAGCTGGCTACTTACTGTATATCATTTCTTTTACTTGACTAAAAATTAGTTTTAGGCAAGCGACTATAAGCATAGCATGGTCTAGCGGCAGTTTGAATAAGAGCAAACTTGAAAACAGTTTTGAAATTTTGAATTCTTTAAAAAATATTGTTAGAAGCATGAAGCAGAATAATTTGGATTATGCTTATTTTAAAAAACTCCACTCTCCTTAAGTGCAACTTACTATAAAATTATCATAGGCAAATATTTAAAAAGCTTCTGAAACCTCTTCCTTTGCTAGGTATCACTGTAAAGCTCAATACTGCTGAATCTAAAATAGTATCACAAAATAAAAGATTTCACCTTACTCCCAACAAAGAGCATAGAATAATTGTCAAACTGTTCAAACCAACCAAACAATATTTTCATTCTACTGTCACTGTATTTAATCTGATAAAATAAGCAGCTTGATTTGATATAATCTACACTGCCCTTTGCTACACTATTATCATTTTGTTAATTAAAGGGGAAAACTCTTTATGACAATGTATCTTTTATTAAGTGGAAAATTAATGCATAAACAAGAATGTTTACACGATAAATGCTGCTTCTATGTAAGTACAACTATTTGCATTATTCTGCCTCATTTTTCACTGTTGTTAATCAATTTTCTTCGTGCTAGATGTAAATCATTGTTAGAACCAGTCCATTTAACATGATCATATTTCTAACCTTACCTTATCCAGCTTCATGTGAAGATATAAGCAAAAAAGTACAGTCCCAATAGTCTGTGCTATAATAAATACAATAAGAAAACACATAAAAATTTTCATGGTGTTAGGTGAGCTGGTACTGATAGGTCGAGGCGTAGTTGGGCTATAAGGTTCGTTCATTCTGTGTTCAAGTGGCTGTGGCCTCCCCTTCAAAAGCACGGTGCAGAAGCAGCATGAGAACTGCCTCGCTAGCACGCTTCTCAAGATAGTTAAAGGACAGGTAGTTGTGACAGCCCACACTTCCTGGAAAAAACCCTTCGTAGTGGGTAGGTTTGTTCATTACCGTCTCCCACAACAAAAAGTGACTTGAACTTTCTTCTTTCATTCACTTCCATACTTTTTCCTATTGTTCTATCAGAAGTCAGTTGAATGTTCTTATTCCATGTATTCATACTTGCCTCGCAACGCTCCAGAAAATAACTGTATTTTTTTCCTACTGAGGACAAACATTTCATGGCTGATGGCTTCAAAGAAATGAGGAAAACAAATCCACAAGCAAAGCTGCTGAATTTCAATGTGGAGAGTAAAAGATTGGGAAATAGGTAAAACCAACACACACAAAAAGTCTTACTTTAATTTTTGTTTGTCTCCGTGAGGAAGGATGGTTTTGTAATTAAGGACCTAGACAGGACTCAGGAGATGTGAGTTCAGTTCCTGGCTTTATCACAGTCTCCCCTTTGTGATCATGGACAAGTTGCCTAATCTCTCTATGCCTGACCTCACCATATGTGAAAAGGGGGGGTAATAATACTTCTTGTGTCTGTTTTGATGGTCTCTTACCATGTGTTTGTACAGCACCTGGCACAATGGACTGCCAGTCTTGGTTGGGGCCTTTATGCGCTATCATAGCCATAGTCTTGGGTACTACATCTTCTAGTATCTATTTGCTTTTATAGCCAAGTTTTCAATGAATCTTCTGACTTTATGGGATGGCAGAGCTGGCCTTAGGGAAAATGGCATCCTGGACGAACTTGTATTTTGGTGCCCCAACCCCCCGCTGGCTGCCTGTGCTCCTCACCCATCCCCCCATTGCACCTAGCATCCGCTGCCTCTCTGGGCTCCCCACCCCTCCCATCGCTCCAGGACCCAGCTACCTCCCCTCCCCATTGCTCCAAGCTCACTTCTGCTGCGTCAAACCCCATGCCTACCCTGCTCCTTGCCTCTTGACTATGGCACCTTCCTGACCACAGCACCCTGGGCGGTCACCCACATCACCCACCCATAAGGTCTGCCCTACGTGACAGAATGTCTACCCCACTTGGCCTGAGGGGGGTAAATTAGGTCAATTAACCCATAGGCTGCACCTGGAGTAAAGCCAGGGTGTATTAAGGCCTAATTGCTGATGACGTCCAGCTGGTGGAGGACCTGGGCCGGGTTTATAAAGACAGGAAGTTGGCAGCAGGAAGGAGCTGTGGGGGGAAGTAGTCTGTAGTCACTCCCTGGGAGAAGGGAGGTGTGTTTGGGGGGCTATGGTGCCAACTGGCCTGTGGTTACTCCCTGGGAGGAGGGAGTTTG